GTGGAGTGAGAGAGAGGGGGGGAGCGTGGGGGAATTGAGGCTACGTAACAATGTCGTTATTTATGTGGCACAACACGGACTTACATAGTGGCCCAAATGCCAACAGAGAGAGAGAGAGAGAGAGAGAGAGAGAGAGAGAGAGGGGGGAGAGAGATGCCAGAGCCTGGATAAGCCGCAAACAATTTGCAATGCGAGCCGAGCTGAGGCGAGTCGAGCGAGTCGCGGGTAAATGTTCAAAACTAAATAGAAATGTGCAGGATATGTGACAATTTGCATTTTTATGCAAACTATTTTGAGCTCAATTATGGCGCCCACCTGGCAGTCTGGGCTGACAGGCACGTAAAAGCCTCTCGCTCTCTCTCTCTCTCTCTGGGGAGAATGGCGCCTAATGCAGTTGCAGTTGCTGCAGAGGTTGGGCAGGCATGCGAGAAACTCATTTTGTTTGTGCAATAAAACACGCGCGGCTGCTCATGCGATGATTTTTTCGAAATGCGCGTGGGCGTGGCCCAGGCAAATGCATAGGCGTAGCCATACAGACATATATAATATGCCCTGCGTATACACACACACACACACACATACACATATATTTATATTTTATGCCTAGGAATTTATGCATTAGTCGCAGGTAAACAGGCTGGGGCTGCCTGCCACGCCCACACAGCAGCGACCGCTGGTGAAGCTGCTTCGAGCCCATCAGACATGGAAATTAACATAAGCAGCATGAGCTGCACTTCAAGTGGCGCCGCCTGCAACGTCTTTTGAGCCCGAGACTCGCTTTGAAGGCTGCTCGAAGTGCGCTTATGCCTGCCAGGCTAAGCTGCCTCAAAATATGCAATGGTTTTTTCACTCACTCTCTCTCTATCTCTCTCTGTCTCTCTCTTTGAGTGTCTCCAGCTTTTTTGTGGAATAATTTAGATAATGTCTTCAAATTATGCTAAACTATGCGCATATGTTAAAGCTGGCGCTTGGCGACAGCCAAAGATTACAAATAGATTATGAGATAAAAGTTCTGCTCCACAGATTCTATGCATTCCGCTAGGCCATCCGAAATCCAAATTTTCAAAATCCACTTTAGTTTGCAATTTGCATACAATTGAGTTTGATCAATTTTAAATAGGGGAATAATAATGAATGTTTAAAATTATTGAGCATAGGCAACTCTTTTATCTCTATTTGTATTTTTGCATTTTTATTTTATTTTATTTTTATTTTTTTTTTTTTAATTTTTTTATATTTTACTATGCATTACTTATTATTTATTATAATTTTGTATAATTATTTTTGCATTTATTTTAGAATTTTGCTTATATTATTATGAATTTATGTATTATAATTATTATATTATTATTAAAATTTTTTTTTTTTTTAAATATGAAACAAATATTCAACTTTAGCCAGTTTTTCGTAATACTTTCTTTTGTTTCATCAAATCCGAAACTGAACCGTCGACAATTTTAATTGAATTTTCCATTCAGCTACTCGTTTGGCTCTTATTTCCGTAATTCTCGCCTTCAAATAATATCTCTCGCTTTAAGCTCCAGTTATCACTCTGTTAAGCCAATGCTTGCATAGCCGCACATTTGTTGTTGTTCACAGCAGCCGCAATGAAAAACTCTTACACCTTGTTTATACATTTTCAATGGACGAGAAAAACAAAAAAGTATGAGAGAAGTAGAGTATTAACCAGAGCGAGGACAGCAGCCTGTTAATTAATAGCCACTGCAGTGAAAGAGAAAGAGAAGGATAGAGCGAGAGGATGAGGGAGCGAGAAGAGCGAGCAAACTCTACAAAATCCCCAGTTTATGGCCGATGATAAGCGCTGTACACAAGCAAAAAATAAAAAACAACAGCAAAAAACTCAAAGTGTTACAAGTTAAGCTTGAAAAATAAGCAAAGATGATGTGCATAGGGCAAACACAGAAAAAAAATATATATAGTTCAGATCCGCTTTAAGCTTTAGCTTCAGGCTTTAAAGGACCTTGCTGCTGTTGCTGTTGCCGCTGCTGCTGTTGCTGCTGTTGTGCATGTTGCCGCAGCTTAAATATTTTTAATTGCATTTTGCGTAATCACCTACGCGCGCTGCCTGGGACAGAGCTGAACGGAGCCCGAACCGATGCCTGGCTACTGAAAGCAGTGCACATTTTTCCAATAGTTAATGGCAATTTGCTGTTTTGCTATTTACGCCAATTATCCTGCATTTACAGGCAACGGCAGCAGCAGCAGCAGCAGCAGCGCCAACATGAAAGCCAATGCAAGTCAAGGCACACCAACAATAGCCGCAACAACAACTTGGCCAACCAGCCATGGCAAAGTGCAAGTCGCGCACATTGCTGCGGCTGCACTGTATGGGTGTACGAGTGTGTGTGGCAGTGTGCCCTGTGCAAACACATCATAATTGAAGCCTTCAACAAGTTTCACATACAATTACGAACACCTGGCAGCCAGGTGCAAACGCACACAGCTCCCGGCTAAAGACCAGGCACAAGCACAAGCCGCAGCAACTTGAGAGACCCGGCCAAGCACGTGACACTTGGCCAACGAGTAGGCATTGTTGGAGACTTGCTCTAAGCAATCGAGTTAACTCAAAGCCAACATACAATGGCCGGGAAATGCCTAACAGGTAAAACTCGATTCTGTGTAGCTTATGGAAGCAAATTATTAAGGCGAGTTATTGCACGAGTGAAAGAAGGTTTTACTTCTTAATTTTGCTAGCTCTTAGCAAATTATAATTCAAATTTATTTTTAATAATTTTATTTCTGATTAATTTGATTAATATAAATATTTTTTCTTTAAATTATTAAGGTGAGTTCTTGCACGCGTAAAAGAATGTTTTACTCACTATTAGCAAATTTTAATTAAAATGTGTGCTTAATAATTTAATAGATTTTTTTATTAATTTTATTTTGGATTTATTTTATCTTTTTAAATTTCTAAAGTGAGCTATCGCACACGTGTAAGAATGTTCTATTCTTTAATGATTGCTGGCTCCTAGCATGTTTATTTTTATAAATTTAATTGCATTTTTTTATTGATTTTATTGATAATTATTCTTTATTATACTCGTTTATTAACTTGGCAAATTTTATTTCAGATTTGCTTTTAATATTTTAATATTATTTGTTATTTATTGTAAGCTTTTACCCAAATTTATTTATGTTGTTTTTTTAGTATTCTCTTTTTTTTATTTTATTTTTTTTTTTTTTTTTATTGGATTTATTTTATTATATTTTATTTTTTATGGACTTTTGGCTCTTTTCATACATTTTTAAATATTTTTACTTTACTTTTATATTGATTTTAAACTCTTTGCAAATTTTATTTGAGATTGAAATATTAAAATGTTTAGACTATTTACTGCATGCGTGAAAAACTGTTTTAGTTTTATTGTTAGTTTTTATTTTTAATAATTTTTTTACTTTTTTTTATTGACTTACCACATTATAGATATTTTCAATATTTTGATTTTATTTTTATTTATTTATTGATGGTTCTTATTTTATTTAATTTTATTACTGATTTGTATTATTTAATCATGATTTATATTTGTAGTTATTTTACATATCTTTACTTCATTATTTTATGTTTAAAAAATATACCTTAAAATAGTTATCTTTGAAACCTTTTTACTAAATTAAATACATTTTATGAATATTCTGAAATGAACATCAAAAGAGAGTCAATTCACTATTCGCTCAGTTTTTCCTTTTTTCTCTTTTCGCTAAGGAAAATACCTTTAAGCATTCCTATTTTTCAATTTGCTAGCATTTCTCTTTGAGCTAACGAATTGCATAAATTAAAGCAACGACATTTTACTCTTCAAGCTGAGTTTGTCCCAACCCCATCCCTATCCCCATGCCGGCCGTCTACACAATCCGCTTAGTTTGTGGGCAGCGCTTGAAGGCCATTACTCAATGGCGGTTTAAATAAGCGAAAGGTTGGTGTTGGTGTGTTTCATGCGTGCCAAGTGCCGTTCGGGCAGCTCGGACAGTTCGGTCTATATTACCATTGTATGCCATACATCAAGCATACGCACTGTGTGTGCGCAACTATTTGGCTTAGCTTTTGGCTTTTGTTTGCGAACGGCAGCAATAAAGCTGTGGCCCCATGACCAAAGACAAATTAACAACAAATGCCATAAATCGCATGGTTCCATATGCGTAGAGCCAATAATCTCTATCTCTAGCTACTCTCTCTCTCTCTTTCTCTCTCTGTCTCTCTGCACAGTGTCTGCTAATTGTCAATGACTATTTATGTCCATTGTCATGTTTGTGCATTTGCCGTGCTCATTTATCTCGCCGAGCTTTGGCAGACATTTGTCACGAGGGACTCACATTAAAGCGTGATGGAAAATCATGAATTAATTTTGAATGCATTCAAACGGCACAAAACATCAAAAACTGAAATTGTAAATAGTTTTTGCTAAATAGATGCTGCAGTCAAATATCCATAGATAATCGAAGCATATTTATTTTGGCTTTTAATGTGAAGTGACTTTCGGCGCTGCTGTTGTCCAGGCCAATGCATATTTCATGTAATTTATGTTTGCCAACAAACTGAAACAGCTCCAACTATTTAGTCAGGGCCCGCCACATGTAAAATCGATGCTTTAGCCGGACAGCAGTTGACATTTGCGGTTGAATAACTAAATGAAACTAATTAAATAACATAGAGCTGTCCGGCTGTATTCAATGCACCAGTTAAATGAGCTAATAAATAGCAGAAGAATATTCAATAATTCGAAATGACATAGGGATCGGTTTTGTTTTCGGTTTAAAGAGAAATTTAAATTATCGAGAATTTCGTTAATGCGGTTAGAATTTTTTCCATTTATCGATTTCGATTTTCGATTTTTTTATTATTACAGTTTGTATTAAAGTTTAGCTCTAGCAATTTTTCTATTCAATGACGTTTTCACAAAGCTGTCAATTGCAAACTACGCAATCAGTAAAATAAAAATTATTAAAAATCGGAATTCTTACATCAAGTAAATATAATTACTTACAACAACGACTACGATTCAAATTCATAAAATTAATGTATATTTAATAATAATATTTAATATTCCATCAGCCACAAACAAAAAGCATCTATGGATACTCCGAACTATATACGACTACGAAGTCGAGTTGTGCCACTAAGTCCGGCTAAGGAGACGCCTGCAAAATGGAAAATGCAGAAAAGCAAGAAGAGCAAAGCGTGCAAAGAATGTTTCAAAAAGAAGTTAGACGAAACAGTCTATGCGGATGTGGAAAGTGAAAATGACGAGGCTGTGATTTTTGTGTCCGACTCACGAGATCCATTAGAGTTTATCGACTTGACCGAACATGAGGACCAATATTAAAGTAAGTTACATTGCGCATTTCCTAAAGAAATAATTATTTAATTTAATTTTTTTTGTCCATTAAAGATTAAGATTAAGGTTATTTTGTTATTAAATTTTGTTGTTAATGGGAAATTACATTGTTTGTTGGAATTGTAATCTAATTATGTTTGATTACAAATTACTTGAGACTAATGAAGATTGAATTTAAGCTATCAGGATATTGGAGACGTCAGAGATGGAGTGAAACGCTTCAGTCGAACAATCTTATTAGCATTTGCATTGATTTGGGCAGAATGCTACGAAACTCAAGAGCCTCAAGATATAAGAACCTGTTAAGGTAAAGGCACCGAGTCACTAATCCAACTAGTCTAATTCAATAACCAGCAGGATTTTGTTATTGCAGCTTTTCATTATAGCAAACAAATGAAGTTTTATTCAAAAATCTAAAAGCAAATCGACTTGGGCTTTGAACCCAGAATTTTTTGCATAATAATATAACAAATTGTAATTTATATATTGTATAATTTTAACGAAATTTGTTATTAAAAATATAAGCTTTTTTTTATCTGACTATTCGTTTAGTATGTGGGCCTAGTTGGGCACACGATGGCGCCATCTGGCGGTTAGTGCTGCGTAAATTCCAATTGAATCTCGTTTAATTTGATAAAGCCAAATCAATTTCTGTCTGCTTAGCAGAAAAGCTAAAGCAATCCTCAGGTAATCCAATGCACGTAAGCCTCAATATTTTGTCATTTCAAATATGGCCAAATGAACTGTATTTTTTATTGGCCATTCCAGTTGCTTTGGCAGCAGCTCTAAGGCCCACAACTTTATAGCCTTGACTAGGGTGCGGCGAACCTTTGCCAATTTATCTGTGGCACGAGCTGCACAAATAGCTGTGACTAGTAAAAAGTGAAGATTCGTAAAGACTCTGATTTACTCAGGCTAATTGAGATGCTTCATATAACAGACGAGACTGCAATTCTTAAAATTTTCACTGCGTCTTGGCTATTTCTCCTGTTAGCAATTGAGATAATTGCAATGGGAGCCAGCACAGCGTAGAGGTCGATGCTAATGGAATTAATTGCTAATTCCAGCATTAGGGCCAAACAAGGTGAATCAACTGCGCAGCAAATTAGACAAAAGCTTGAATAATTTAATTAGATTCGCACTCGCTTTAATTGCGAGCAACCGCAAAAATCAACAAGAAGACGAAACAAAACACTCACAACGCTAAATTCAAAAAGCAACATTGGGGCTTATGCTGGGATTACGGTAAGCAAATGAGCTCGGACTGCGCTCGGTCATTGGGTATTAACGTGGCTAAAGAGCACATCATTGCTGCAAATCCCCTGCAAAGAGGGGGTATGAGGGCGTGAATGCCGAATGGAATTTACGCAGTTTAAATTGGCAATCATTAAAACAATATTAAAAAAAAAAACGATAAAAAATAAATTAACTTTAAACCTTTTTAATTCATGCTAAATATAAAAAAAAAAAAATACAGATTATTGATGAAAAGATTTTTTCTGACTTTTCTCTCTGTTTCCGCTGTGAGTTGCTTTCTATCATTCCCACTCTCTCTTGCTCCCACTCTACATGTGAGAACATGTATATCTCTCTGTCTCTTCTCTCTCTCTTTCTGTCTCTTTCCCTCTCTTTCTTCCAATTTATCTCTATAGTCAGCAATACTAATTTTTTTCTCCATCTCCCATGCCATCTGCCCATTTTATTGTTTCTCTCTCTTTCATTGAAACACTTTCCCTCTCCAAGCCTATATTATGATTAGGTTTTTGGTTTATGCTAACGAGCCCAAGTTTTTGCTTATACTATATGCACCTTAACTTTATTCGACCTGCTCTTACTTTCTATCATAAATCTAGCATGTTACTTTATGGGAATATTGCTTACAGATTCATGTTGCTCTGCCCAAAGTCAAGGCAATTTCATTCAATTGGCCATTTCGCTTTGACACAGCTGCTGCTCCACTGAATTTTATGCTTGACTGTATTGAGGTAGGCACTCGACTACTTCTCGAACAAAACTAACTTAACTGAAACGAAAGACGCGCCGTAATTGCATTGAACATTGATTTTCCAGGCAGCGCGCTCATCCGTTTACTGTGCGTGAGCAGCGCTCAAAGGGAGCCTGGAAATCGACTGGAAATTGATTTTCATCTGCAGCCAAAAGTCCTAAAGGCACAGCGCGAACGCTAACTGGCACTCGGAATTAGTTAGAGAAATTAAATAGTTTAAATGAATATTGCAATTAACGGACTGCAAAGGTAACGTGAAGTTTTCACTTGCGGCGCTCTAGACTTGCCACCTTTTCGCATTGTACGCTCGTTCGCTGTTGTTGCCTTATGTTTTTATACCCTGTACATGGCAAAGTAAGTTTTCAGAGAGGTTGTATGTGAATAGAGTTGAACGTATGTTTGTCTATCTCTTTTATTTCTTTTATTGATGTTTAGTTTTCGCTGTTTGCTACATTTATAATTCTTTTCGAATCCTCTTTCACTATTTAATTTTCTCTATTCTCTATTCATTTTCTTTATCCTTTTCATATACTTTCCTCATTCTTGTTTTTGCATTTTTTTTCAACCTCGTTCCTTTCCTTCCTTTTGTGTTATTAACTTTTCTTTTCTATAATCATTTTTCATATCTGTTCTTCACCTCTCTTTAGCATTATATGAGCTCTATAACTATTTTAAATATTTTTAAATATTTTTAAATTCGTACGTAAAGACCCCAATGCAGGGTATTACCCACGTCGACTACCTTGCATAAGTACGGTATGGTTTTTATTCCATATTGTTTTGCGCCATGTAAGTGTTGTTTGGCCTGTTGAAGGACTTAGCCTGAGTGGATGGCTGGCTGGCGCAGGATGTACAAAAATTGTGTGAGGAAAATGCTTTTCATGTTTATTGTTGGCATATGCAACAATTGCATTGTACGCAGCCGAGCAGCTGAGCAGTCGAGAAGAGCTAGAACAATACAGCACAAGTTTTTAACAAGACAAACATGTTGAACAACCCAGATGAGTTTTAATAGGCTAAATTATGTTGTTGCTCGAGAGTGATTATGGCTATTGTCTGGCATTGAAGTGTCTGTTCGTTATTATGAGAGTTATGTATAAATATTTGGGTGAACTCACCTGGCTCTGCTTGTAGTTGCCGTTGTTGTTGTTGTTGTTGTTGTTGTTATGTGTTGCATGTGCATTCATTTCCCTAACATTTCTACCCACATTTTTGCCATTTGCACGTCGTCGTTGGCTAAAGTTTAATATGTATGCCCTGGCTTGATATGTGGCTGCCGCATATGTATGTGTACGTACTCCCCTTGGCATTTCTGCTACGGCTACAGTCGGGCCACAGGAGATGCAACCTTTATTGGACACCTTAAATGGCAGCCACAACACAATTTCCATAGGAATTGCATGCGATTTCCCTGCTGCCCCACAAAAAGAAATGAAAAGATTTGCCTGCTGTCCTTGCTCAACCTATATTGATATACACTGGCAGTATATATATAGGTATATATATTTAAATCGAAAAGTGAATTGTGTGCTCTCTGGCACGCCCATATATCATACAGCTATGCAATTAAAACATTGTCAATTGCTGACTTTTATGGCGCTTGAGGCCCAAATAAATTGGCTGAGGCTGCCATTCGATTTGCAATATTTATAATATTTGTCTCTGCTCTGCTCCGAATTCCCCTTCAATTATCATATAAAAGAGCTCCACAATTTTCGATGTTTATTTTCGTGTTTTCATGTTTGTGTTTACCGTTGATCTTTAGCTCTAGATTTTATTCAAGCTGCGCTCATTTGTATGCTACGTTTTCTTTATTCTGCTGCAGCTGCCAAGCAGTTAAAGCACACAATGTGTCTGTGTGTGTGTTTGTATGTGTGTGTGTGCATGGCAAACAACACTGTGGCACATCGTGGCACAGCTACACATGTTGTTGTCAGTTGGCAAGAGTTCTGAAAGAATTTCCCATTCAGCTGCAGTTGGCAAAAACATTTTTCATAATTGCATGGAATATACTAACTCGACTCAGTGTGTGCTGCTTGGCTCTGAAACTAAAACTTTCAAAATATTTATTTCAAAGTCAAAAACAGCAAGAACTGAATGTGTTTATAGCACAAGTTTCTTAAGCTTAAGCCCTAAAGCCAAAGTCTGTTTGCTAGTTTATTGGTATTTGCATAAGAATTTATTTTCAGCAAATACATAAATGTGCTTAAGTCATAAAGTGTCTGAGCGAGCTGTGAACTGAAACTTGCAGTTAAATACTTTTTCAATTATTCTAGACTTATTGTCGAGCTGGTGCATTTAAGTGACTAGAAGATTGCACTTGTTTAAATGTGAATGCTTGTTTAATTTGGAAATGGCAAGCCACAGCATTCCTTGATAATCTCCCAACAGTTTCTTCAAGCCTGAACATTTGTCAATTGTAAAAATATGATATATGATTCAATATTAATTTTTAGCAATAAAGTTCTTTGAATGTTAATCAATAATGGCAAAGCAATGCAATTTTGTTTATTCGTAATCAAAAAAAAAAAAATAAATAAATAAATAAATCAAAAATAAAAATTAAAAATTTTAATGAAATAACAACTAATAAATTTAATGAATTAATTATTTATTTTAGTTGAAATATTTATTGTATTAAAAAATAAAATAAAATAAAATAAAAAAAAAACAAGGAAAACAAAAATTATAATGAAATAACAACTAATAAATTTAATGTATTGATTATTTATTTTAGTTGAAATATTTATTGTATTAATAAAATACTTTTAGTTTTACTTTTTTATTTATAATATGTCTTTCACTTGATGTTTATATGTATATGTTAAACTATGTATATTAAAATAAAAAAAAAAAAAAAAAAAAAACTAAATAAATAAATATTTTTGTTTTTATATATTGATATATTTTTTTATATGCAATTATATTTTTAGTTTTTACCTAATTTTGACTCACACTTTGTCAATACATCTTTAAATAAATAAATTTAAATAAATAAATATATAAATTTGTATTAAATTTAAAGAAATAAATTTATAAATTTATGTATTAAATTTAAATAAATATAAATTTAAAATATTTTTGCTTTCATGAGGGTTTCTATACCTCACAGTCTTATTATAGACATTCTCACAGAAACCAATACACCTTTATATATTTATCTTCAATCAATCCTTCATACTTCACCTCGACAGCTTGGCTTAAGCAGCTTCAATCATCTGACACTTAATTCTAGCTAAAATAATTATTCAATACAATATATTATAACATGTAGCCTCACAGCATCTCTATATTTATTTATTTATTTAGAGGTTAGAGATAATACGAAATTAAAACCAGCTTATAGAGCAAAGTCCTGGCTACAGAGCGCTTCGACTAGCTCTATAGAAAAACCGCAAATCACCCAGCCACATATTTAATTTAAATTTATTGAGTGTGCTTCACAAATATTAATTACGCCTTTGGGGCTATTTGCAT